TCTGGCTCCGTGAGAGGGGGTTGTGGGCAGGAACTGGGGAAACTGGGAGCCCGGAGTGTCCCAGGCTGCTGCAGACCCCGGGCCGGCCCTGGGGATGCCACCCCCGCTATTGTCACCTGCGGGGTGACACCGCGGCCCTCCGCCATCCCTGCGGGGACTGTCACCCTCCCCTGGCAGTCAGCAGGACCTGCCACCTCCGAGCTCACCCGGCTGGTGCTTCCCAGCGCCGAACCTCCCGCTGTCGCTGGGCGAGGGGCCCGGCGCTGGATCCCAGCTGGAATTCTGCTCCCTGTCCCCACCGAGGGGGCGATGCCCGCTCCCTGTGCCCGAGCCCTGCAGGGATCTTCCCGTTGCTAAGCAGCTCCTGAGGATGGGCAGCACCAGCGGGTGGGCTCGGGGTGTGCCCAGACCTCACCTGGATCTGCCCCTCCGGCAGCCCAGGGTGAGTGGGATACACCCAGGAGCGCTTCATTTATTTAATATTTACCTTTTATTTTTATTTTTTTTTTGCCATTGTCTTTAATCAAGAGGAGTAAATCCTTGTGACAGCATCCTAACAGTGTTCGGTTGGGAAGGGAGCTGCTGGAGGAAATGTCAACGTGCTGCTTAAATAAAATTGACTGAGCTGCTGCTCAGCTGCCTTGGGATGCAGCTTTGTCTGGAGGATGACGGGGAGCTGGGAATTCAGGGGGAGTGGAATAAAGGCAGCTCCCAGCACCTTGTGGGAATTTAAAGGCAGCAGTGGCACTAGCCAAGCCAAAAGGAATTGGTGTTCCCAAAGACTCCCAGCGGCTGTGGTGTGGATTTACCTGGAGGACATCGTTTTGCTTTTCCTGCCTCTGTCACTGTCACCTGTGGGCTGTGGCTGTCACACTGAGCTTTAATTAATTAATTAGTACCACACTGACCCGGGAAGTTGTGGGGCTGCAAGGAGAAGGGCTGAAGGATGTGGCGACCCCAGGGCTGGCTCTGGGTCTTTCCCAAAAGCTGCATTCCCAAGACCCCTCAGCCTCCGTGGGGCGGTCAGGGGTCTGATCCCACCCCGTGGCTGTCGGAAGATTTGGGAACACGGAGCTGTGACACCTGGGGCTCCCTCTGGGATTGTCCTGTCCCAGCCCAGGTGTCCGGGAGGAGCTCCAGCCCCGGCAGCTCCCAGCCAGCCGAGTTCTCCCTCCCTCCTTCCTGCTCCTCAGGGCGAGCCGGGGCCGTGGGCTGCTCCCTGAGCACCATCCATCGGGCAGCTTGCCCAGTTTTTCCCGAACTTCCCAAAACCATTCGCACGTGGGACGAGAGAAATGACGGAAGAGCGGGATTTGAGGGAGTTTGGGCATGTGGGACCCGACGGGGCTGGGCTGCCCTCCTGCCCCTCCCTGTGGCTGATCATCTTGCAGCGTTACACGGCTGCTCCCGCAGATACTCTGGTGGACATTTTCCCTTTTTTTCCCCCCTCTGCAGGCAAATCCAGCTGTACCAAATCCTGCCTGGAGCCAGAGGACAGTGAGGACTGCCTGCCCCCATAGCCATGAACGTGCTCCATAGGGAATGGTGTGGGAAGTGCAGTGGGAAAACTCCTTTTCCTGGGAAAGGACAAGCCTGGATGTTTGGAGATGCTCAGGGCACAGCTGGATGTGGGGTGTGGTGTCCGTGCCAGGTGTTTGGGCGGGATTTGGAATTCCCTGTGGTTTGCAGCCCTTCCTGGGTGCCAGGCATGGAGCAGGGCAGGGTGTGGTCCTGATGGACTTGGGAAATGGCTGGAAATGCCCCCCGGGACCTGGGAGAGGTTTCCAGCCAAACTCGGTGTTCTGGGATGTGTGCCCTGCGTGGTGAGGAGACAATTCCATCCTGGCTCATCCCAGCTTTGGCATTTGCTCCTCACACTGCTCATCTGGGGAGGGTCTCAGTGAGTCCTTGTCACCCCAAAACGAGCCCCACCAGGCAATTCCATCCTCACCCCCTACTTTTCCATCCCCAGCTCCAGCTGTGGAGCGTAAACCTTCTCCAGTGCCAACGTGCAAACCCCACCATCCCAACAGAGGATCAGCTTGGATCCATTCCACTTCCAAACCTCCAGCTTGGTGGTGACACCCAAAAATCTCCTGCCTGGCACCGGAGCAGCAGCTTGGGTTGGTTGGTTGGGGTCTGGCTGCTGCCGCTGCTCCGTGCTCCAGGTGAGTGGATGATCCCCAAAATCTGCCTTTTTCCACCCGGATTAATCGCATCAGGCTTTGTCAATGGAAAAATTACCTCATCATTGGCACTGGCAGGTGGTGAGAGCAGCAGACTTATTCAATATTTAAGAAAGCTGCATTGCAGAGCTCAGGAGGCTGGAGGGAGAAATAGGTTGCCTGTGTCAGTGTCTGCTGCTGGAGACAATCTCTGCAGGCATCGGCTGGCAATGCCGGAAAAACCTCACCCTTGCCCCGGGAGCCCGGAAAAGAGGGAATTTTCTCTCTTCTCCTCTGGTTTGGCATTCCCAGGTGGCTTGAGGGGTGCGTGAGGGCAGCGCTGTGTACCGGGCTCTCTCTGCAGGTGTTCAGCCAAGGGCGGCTCTGGGCCCCACGGCGGGATGGGCTCATTCCATGGGGATCCCGCTGCCTTTCCAAGCCTCCCACAGCTGCTGGAGGGCGAATGGGACCTGCCAGCTCCCGACACCGCACCTGCCGGATTTCGGGTGCTGGAGGTGGACCCGCGAGGCGGCGGCTCCTGGCGCCGACCGCTCCGGGAGAGGGATCCACGGGATGCGTTCAATCCCGCTTTATTAAAGCATGACCAGATCCACGGGCTCCGTCACACAGGAGTAATGGAGCGGCGTGATTGGAGTCATGTGGCCCTTCCTTAAGGCCAGAAATTAAGACCTCACTGCTATTCCTGGCTCTGCCCGGGACGCACCGCCTTGGCGCCGGCGGGAGCTGCCGGCATCCGTCGGAAAACCTCGGGATGAGACAGCTCCTCACATCCCCACCGACACCAGGGTGGCAGATCCGAGACCCTCCGGGGTCAGCCAGACCCTGGAAAGTCTTGGCACACTCCTAGGTCGGGATATTTCCATTTCATTAAGGAAATGCTGCTGCATCCCATCGATCCCCGCTTGGATGGCCACATCCTGGTGCTCGGGAGCCAGGGCTTGGCAGGGGTGGGGAAAAACCACCTGAGCCGTTATTTCGTTCTTCCCCGCTCGCTAAAAACGCCGGAGGAAGCATTAGGGCAAGCGGGGGTAGTTGCTGGAAGTAATGCAAAGTAGATTTTCCAAATCTATTATTTATAGGCGGAGAAAGGGATTGTGTATTCCTTCAGGAACCGGCCCCGGGCTCCGCTCCACCCGCAGCAAAGCGGAACGCTCGCGGCCTCGCTGCTCTTAGCGGAAAGTTCCAGTCGGGGAAAGGAGTTTTCCCTCCTGGTCCCTCCCCGTTGGGAAAACCAGGGATTTTCCCCTCTTTTCCCCAGCTGCAGGGTTGGGGTGGACATTCCTGCCCCGTGTGACCTTGGGAGGGTCCCCGCCTGCCTCTCCCCAAAAACGGGTGGTGGCATTGTGGTGCCGCCCGTGCTCCCTGTCCCATCTGTGCCCACCCCGGGACCCCCCAGCTGTGCTGGGACGCTTCATTCCCAGCGGGAATTCGCTGCTGCAGTGCGGACTGTGGAGGTGGCGGGGGGGACCTAAATGAACAATTTGCTTCGTTAAGTGACCTTGTTAATGGGAGCCTTCTGGTTTGGCACGGGAACAGGCGCTGTGTGAACCAGCAGAGCACTAATTACCCACGTGCTTCACTTCTCCTGCTTTTCCAAAAATACTTTCTTACATCCCGAAGTTTTCCGTGAAGCCAAGGTGAGCCTCAAGGCTCCACTGACTCCTCAGGGAGCGATGAGGAACCCCTGCAATACTGCAGAGAGTTTTCCCCCACCCTTTTTCTTTTTTTTTTGGGAAAGTTGGGTGTTCTTTCCTGGCTTGGAGCTGGTGATTTCAGCGGGGAAGTTTTGCAAGCTCCCGTTTTCCATCATTTCCTCGGTGTAATCTCCCCAGTTTCTCTGCTGGAGTTGCTTTGTGCCCTGCCAAGGTGAATTTACAGGTTTGGGCAGAGCTCTGGTCCTGCTGGGATGCCGGAGTTGAGACCTGGTGGGATGAGGGGAACTGAGAGGTGCCTTCCAAGCAGGGAGGGATCCAAGGCAGCGTCATCCCAGGGCAGCAGGATGGGAAGGTGAATGATCCATGGGCTGGGAGCAGCCTTGCTGCCCGTGGCTCTGCAGAGGGGATTTTTGTGAATTTTTTAGCTCTGCTGCAGGTAAATCTATCAAATTTGTGGTTTGATGAATGGATCCATCCATCCCCATCCCCCTGCAGTGGGTGGAGGGACAAAACCCCTCCAGGAAAATGGGAATAAAGGATCAATCAGGCTGTGGATTTGACATCCATTGGTATTTTCAGGAGAAGGGTTTGAAGAACCCTTTCGGATGAACCTCTGGGGAGGAGTGGACAGACCCTCCTGATCGAATCCTGGCGCTATCTTTTCCCTCCTGGATCCACTTGGCAAAAATTTCAGTGGACCAAAGTGAAAAAGGAGGTTTATTTTCCAGAGGGAATGTGGTTTGGGAAAGGACAGCGAGGCGTGCTGGAATTTGGGCAGAAAGTTTCCTTGTTTGTAGCTGTTTCTCTAGAATGGAGCCCCCTCTTCCCTCCTGGCCCTGAAGCCTCATAATTAATGTGAGGTTGGGGATTCATTAATTACATCCAGGCTGTGCTGCCCTCCTGGGAAGGAGGCAACTCCTGCATCTCAATATCCAGACAGCCACTAAAGCGACATTCCCGCTCCAAACCCTCTTAATCCCACAAACAAACCCTTTCCCGGCGTGACTTTTAGGGATTTTTGTTGTTTTCTACCCTCCAGCCTGGCTGGGAGCTCCTCTTCTTCACCTGGGAGCAAAGCGATTGAAGTCCCTGCTGTGCTGGCTTGGGGACGGTCAGCGGGGCGCCGGTGTCCCCAAGCTCATGTCCGGGGTGGCCGGCGATGACCGACGCGGTGCTGGGCGGCTCCTCTGACCGGTGGATGTGCCCCAGTGACAGAACCATGTCCCTCCGAGCCAGGTGAGGCCACAGGGACAGGCTGGGTGGTGGCACCGTGGGGGACACCGGGAATTGGTTTGGGCGCTGTTGGGTGGGGACATTTTGCTGCGTTTGCGCCCCGAGCGAGGCGGTGGGGACAGAGCCGGGCTGTGTGACCTGCTGCTGTCCCTCTGTCCTGGCACGAGGTGAGGCCACGTCCCCTCTGGAGCACATCTCGGGCTGGGGGCTGGGTTTTGTCAGGGTCTGAGGCACAGAGTGTCCCCTTATCTCTGACACCAAGCTCTGCCATCCAGGAAAACACCATGAAAACAACAGCTAAACAGAAAAGCTAAAAGTGTGTGTGGATTAGAGAGTTTTCTTAAGTCACTGGGTGAAAAAGTTAAAGTTTAGAGTTTAAACTCGTTTAGAGAGCAGAAGACAAGATGGAGGATTTAGGGTGTTGTCTCTTTTCCTCCTTCTTTCTTCTTCATCTTCTTCTTCTGGAAGTTTTTGAGTAACAGGAAGTGATTGGATAGAAAATTCCGCAGTGCAGCACACAGGTGTTGGGTCACTGGGTCAATGAAACATAAAAATAATATCATAAAATATAGAAATATAGAAAATATAGAAATATAGAAAAATAATGTACGTGTCCATTGTTAATTGAGTGAAAATAAGTATAAAGATAAAGAGACTGCGTAGTTCAGGGCCATTTTGTGCTATTCAAGCCAAACTTCAGCCAAAGCTGGGGTCGGTTGAACTTGTGCAGAAGGTCTGGGGAAGACCTGCCAAGTCTTTGATAAGATATATTAATAAACCTGAGAAACAAGAAGCTAATGAGCCTTTTGGATGATCCTTTCTGGAACAAAACTGAGATGAGAGAAACTCCCCTTTGAGGGGGTGTCCCAGAGGGGCTCAGCCCTGAGGAGATCCCACAGCGACAGGTTTGGTGCCTGGAGGTTTGGGGTCGCTCTTTGGGGGCGCTGGGGCTCTGTGGGGAGGGACCAGGAGTTGGGGACTGTCACCCTGAGGTGGGATGGGCTCTCCTCATCCCTGCTCTCACCTAATCCTTGTCCCCTCTCTTTCCCTGTGCTTCCCAGCAGTGAGAAGGAGCAGTAAGTATCTCCCTTGCTTTTATTTTCCACTTATTCCTCTTTCCCTGCTGCTCTGACGGTCTGAGAGCAGGAAAAAAACTGGGTTTGGATGCAAAAAAAAAAAATTAAGTTTGGGAAGCGTCGCGCAGGGTTTTAATGAACTTAAGGCTCAAGATCGTGTGGGTCTGTTCAATCCAGAGGGGAGAAGAGCCAGGAAAGGTTTTTGGAAGAGCAGGAAGGTGAGGAATGTTTGCCTTCTGCACCCCTGAGTGGCAGACGTTACCCTGTCACCAGGTTAGCGCTGCCTGACGCCCAGGCTGGGAGAGAGGATCTTTGGGAATGATGTTAGAGGGAAAAACGCTCCCGTGCTTGGAGAAATGTTCCCAAAAAAAAAAGCCACCCACTCCTGCGCCACCGCCCCGGTCCCGCGGCTGCCAGGCAAACCTGGTGATCCAGGGCGCCAAAGGAAAAGCGGGAATAATGGGAATATTTCTGAAAATGAGTTTTCCCTCCGTATGAAACCCCCTGAAAGTGGAGAGCGGAGCTGGGAGCCGCGGGTTGGATGGGATCTGGAAGATGGGGAGCTGGGCTGGGTTCGGGGTTTGGGAAGTGGTGCCTGGGCACTGCCGGGGGTGGGAATGGATCCATGGCTGGATCCCTGTTCCCGCTGTCTCGGCAGGCTCCCGGCGGGCTGGGCAGCGCAGCCCGAGCGGCAGCGCAAGGGCGAGGAGCTGACGGATGAGGAGAAGGAAATCATCAACCGGGTGATCGCCCGCGCCGAGAAGATGGAGGAGATGGAGCAGGAGCGCATCGGGTAAGGCGGCGCTGGGGACACCGAGGGACGGGGACGGAGGGACCCCGAGCCCGCCGGGGCAGCGGGAGGAGGCTCTGCTTGGCTGCTTTCCTGGGCAGCAGCCTCTGCACTGCGGTGCTTCTCCCGAATGGAGCCTGCGGGGGATCTTTGGGCCTCGGCCAGGAGGAACCTGTGAGCAGGGAGGGAGCGGCTCCGGGTGCCGCTGGCGCTCCGGGGGGCTGGAACCAGGAGCTCTGCTCTCATCCCAGCTTTTTTTCAGTCCAAAAGGGATCCTCGGGAGCAGCTCAGTGCTTGTCCAGAGCTGAGCCAGAGCACGGAGGAGTTTGGTCCCCGTTCTGGGAATGCGGGTGGAGGGGGGATGGATCCATCCCGGTGGTTAATCCCACTCTGCAAGGAGCTGTGTGTGAGGCTCAGGAGGGCTGAGTGATGCTCAGAGCTGCTGGAGGGTCCTGGGGTCCCCACAGCCACTGGTGCCTCATTTTCCACCAGGAGCACTCCCAGTGCCCGTGCAGAGGGTGGGAAGTGCCCGTGTTTCCTTTCCGTGGATGCCGAGGTATCCATCCCCTTGCCCTGCTGGGAATGGTTTTCCAGAGGGGATCTTCATAATCCCGTTGGGATCACACCTGTTTCCCTGACGGTTTCTCCTTGCCGAGTTCAAGCATCCACCGCTCCTTTTCTTTTTCCTAGCAGGGAAAACACTCAGGCTCAGGCAGGAACCACACTCCCCACTGCTCTGGGAAGTGCCAAATTCCCTCTCACAGCTCAGGGACAGTTTGCTGCCCCTCAAATATTGGGGTACAATGCTCTGGCTGCATTTATTTCCTCATTTCTTAGAAATCCTTGCTTAGGAGGATCCGTGAGCATCCTGGGAAGGTTTTGCCTCTCCAGGGGCTGCTCTCCCTGCCCGTGCCCCATGGATGTGCTGCTCCCTCAGAGCCTCTGGGGGCTCATTTTCCATCATTTTCCATCATTTTCCAGCACACAGCACTTCCCTCTCGCGGCTTTTTTGGCAGAAGCCAGGTGAAAGTGGCCCCGAGTGGCCGGGGATTCACAAACCTCTTTCCCTGGCCTTGCCCTTTTGCTGCCCGGTAAGAATTCCCTTCCAACGCCACGCTCCTTGGATGAGGCATAAATCATCCTGGGGAGACTTTGTGCAGCTGGCTCCCAGCCCTTCCCTTTCTCCTTCTTTGCCGAGCCGGAGGAGGTTTGCTCATCCTCATTCATGAAAAGCCGGGCGGAGGGGCCGGGAGCCGGGAATTGTGGCGGATGTGCAGCCGCAGCTGATCCCCCTCCTGCGTGGAGGCGTAGCGGGAGCCGTGCCAGCCCCTTTGTGTTTGTTGGCTTGCACAACAAGAGCTGTAGGATGTTCAGCCCCGGGAATGTGGGACAGCGGCTGGATCAGCCTCGGGCGGAATCATCCGTTCGGGAGCGGCTCGGGCGTTATCCAGGATTGCTCCTTCTGTCACAAAATAATCCGGGTTTGCCAGGCTGGCCTCTGGCAGGGAGGACCTTGGTTGGCCAGGCTGCTTTAGGGAGCTGCTCCTGGAAATCCTGATTTTTTTTCTGGATTTTCTGGGATTTTTCTATTCCTGTAAAGGGAAAAACAAATCCATTAAAACTCACCCAGAGGAGCTGTGGCTGCCCTAATCCCTTGGAAGTGTCCAAGGCTGTGTTGGAGCAAGCTGGGATAGTGGAGGGTGTCCCTGCCCATGGTTTCCAACCCAAACCATTCTATTATTCCATGAAAACACCGCTTTTAGCTAATACAAGGAATAGCTCACACGGGGTGAGATTCCAGAGGGGGAATATGTGGTGAATACTTGGAGTTGCCTCAATAAGTGGAGGTGTTCGAGGGATTCGAGCTTCACACCCCAATCCTTGAGGAATCCTGAATCCCACGGCTGGGGCTGTGGATGAACCTCCTCACGCCCCAAATCCTTCCCAATTTTCTGCTCTCCATCTCCTGTATCCTCCATCCCACCCGTCCCCCCGTCTTGGGAACAAATCGATGTCTCTTGTTGAGCTGTTGTTTGTGGAATTGGACTTGGTGTCAAACCCAGCTCAAATTAATCCCGTGAAGGAGTATTTTTAGCTCCGAGGGCGGATGGATCCTGCGGGATACGTGAGCTGGATGCTGATGAGGGCTGGAGGACAGGGACACTTGGTGTTGGGGGGATTTTTTTTTTTTGTCTCATGGCGCAGAGAAGGGTGAGAGGAGCTGGAATCATCTTGAACATGACACAGCAGGAGCACGTCGGGCCGGAGCTGCCGGACCTCAGAGCTGCAGGACGATCAGGATCATCCTTCGGGATGAGGGGCTGGAAGTTTTAGGGGAAAGGGATGATCCATGTGGGTGAGGATGGATCCATTCTTGCCCTGCCTCGCTCTGTGCTCGGGGGTCTCTGCGACACTCCGGTGTCACAGTGCTGCTATTCCAGCCGCAATCCATGAGGATCCTGTTTTCCAGCTGCCACAGGAGCACCTGCAGGCACTAATTGACTCCGTTCTGCATCTCTAATTGGGGGCCATCAATAACCCAGCCGGGCCTAATGAGTTCCAGCACGCTCCTGGCATTGAGGGAAAGATCTGAAACCATCCCAAGGTAGAAACGGATATTTCCGGAGAGCACGGAGCTGGCTCTCCCAGAGGGGAGGTGACAGCTGGCTCTGCCTGTGTCCCCATGGCTCCCACCTTTGCTCCGAGAGGAGCAGCTCTGGAGCGGGATTGGGTTTTAATTTGGCTGCTCATGGCTGGGATGAGACAGGGATAACGCGGGAGCAGATGGAAGTCCCCGGGGATGAAGTCATTAACCTCGGTGGCAGGGAAACTGTCTGGGGACCACAGCCTGGGATCTTCATCAGCACAGCAAATAAAATTCGGGCTCAAGGCAGGGCAGGGAGGTTACAGGAGTGTCTCCTGGGATGCCAGTTTCTGGAGGAGATTACTGGGGGACAGCTTGCGCTGCTTGGGATTTTGTGGGGGTTTGGTTGAGATTTTCCCCTCCAAAAAAAAAAACCTCTCTCCTCTCTGATTTCCAAGACTGCAAAAATGACCACCCTGCTGTAGCACATTCTGCAAGCACCTGGAGGAGCATGGAATGGGATACCTGGGAAAACTCTGTGGGAGTCTTCTCCTGAGGGCCTGGAAAAGCCCCAGTGGCGCTTCACCTTTAGCTCCCTTGGAGGGGAGGAAAATTGCTTCTCATTTCTCATCCCCATTTTAATTATGTTTCCCTTAATCTGGAGCTGGGCTGCTTTTCTTGTCCCTTTTCCACCAGGAAAATGAGCCTTAATTTAATATTCAGCCCTTTAAGGCACTCGATTTCCCCACGGAGACGAGGCCGGGCCTCATTCTGGAGGCTCCTGGTGACCTCCTTTGTGTTTCACTGGAATTTTTTCGCCATGGATGTGGTGTCTGAGCCCATCCCTGCTGCTTTCTGCACGGCACTGAGGAGCACTGATCCTTCCCCGTGGATCAGCTCCTTCTCCCACCCTTTTTGCCGCATTAAAAGTCCTCCCTGACACGATTTAAAGCCCCTTAAGGACATCTTGGCCATTCGTTTCTGCAGTGCTGATGAATATTTAAGCACAGCAAACTCCTGCTCCGTTGTTAAGTCTCGTTTCCTGGGATCATCAGCACTTCATCCCGGTCACTCTGTCCCTCTTTCCATCCCTCTTCTCCTGCTGCAGTGCTGAGAGTTCCATGGAATCGTTTGGGTTGGAAAAGACCTCTGAAGTCGTGGAGTCCAGCCCTAAACCCAGCTCTGACAAAGCTGATTCTGTCCCCTCCAGGGCTGAACCCAGCCTAAGGTCACCCTTCATCCCTGTGGGATCCTTTTCCTGCCACAGATCATGGGGAATGTTGGGATGCGCCCCTGAGCCCTTCCCTGCCTGTCCCAGGGCTCTGGAATGCGGCAGGAACACGAAGGAATGTTCCTCAGTGCCCTGGGGCTGTTCACCTTCCCCCTTCCAAACCGTATTCCTGGGATTGGGCTGATCTCCATCATCAGGGTCCTGTCTCTCTCCCATCAGTGCCTAATCCCTGAAATCCCTGTTTCCCTGGCAGGTGAGGGATGCTCTCCCCATCCCCGGGGCTGTCCCTGAGCCAGCTCCCTGCCACAGGCTCCGGTTACTCCACTCCCAGATTTTTTTCCCCTTATTTTAACAATTGGAAGGACATTTCCTGCTCTTTGAATTCCACCTGGCAGAAGCCAGAGGGGTGGGCAGAGGAAGATGCTGCTGGAGCCGTGGAAGGGAGAGGGATGAGCTGGAGGGTTGGTTATGTGCAATAAAAGCGAGGAGGAAATGATACCCAGTGGAGAGAAAAGCTTTTGGGGAAGGCAGAAATCTCATTCCCGGTGAGGGCAGGGCTTCCCTTGGTTATTAGTGGGAGGATGGGGTGGATTTGGACCTCTGGAGATGCTGGATGAGAGACAAACCTGAGCTTTTTTCTCCCAGTTATTGCCTTTATCAGGAGCTTCCCAGCCCAGGGGTTTGGGCACAACCCCTCCTTTTCCAGGGCCAGGTTCACAGCAGGACTTGAAATTGAACTTTCCCTACAGTTCTCTCCCAGCAGCGTTTGAGTCATGGGGGAATAAAAAAAAAAAAAAAAAAAAGCCTAATTTCTCCCTCTTGAATGGATGTTTTAATTAGGGAATGTACTTGGCTTGCAAGTGGTGCCACAGGTGTGTCCTGGCTGCTGAGCTCTTCCAGTGGTTCAAAAATCCCACTTAAGGAGCAGCTCCTTGTAAATGAGAGCCCGGGAGAGATTTTTGCAGCTAAATAATGAATCTCTTGAAATGCAAAGGCTTTTTCCTCTTTTTTTCCCAATTTTTTTTTTTTCCCCTCCCTTTGATTGTGCCATTTGTTCCAGTTTCTATAATAAGTTTGTTTGGGCTTGCAGATTTCCAACTGGAAGCTGCTTTGCTTGGAGCTGCTGCAGCGCAGCAGGGAGGAATTGCAGAGGATTTGGGGTTTGGCTTCCTTATAAAAGAGAGGTTTTTTCCCCCAAAAAATGCTCCCCCTCGGTGAGGTGAGGATCACACGTTCCATGGGATGTGGGCTGGGGTTAATTCCTTTTAAATAGCACTTGGGGAACAGCCAGAATCAGGGTTTTAATTGGAATTGCTGGCTGGGTGTTGATGGATGCAGCTCTGCTGGAGTCTCTGGGATTTCTGTGTTTGCCGCAGGCTCTGGAGCCTGGGAGGGCCCCAGGTGGCTCCAGAGCTGGGTCATTCCCTAGGAAGGAACCACCTGTGGATGTGAAGGGCAGGGATGGACCACGGCACCTCTCAAGTAAATCCCAGAGCGGTTTGGGTTGGAAGGACCTCAAATCTCCTCTGATTCCACGGGCAGGGCCACCTTCCACCAGCCCAGCTTGCTCCAAACCCCATCCCACCCCAGAGCAGGGAGTTAGGCTGGCAGTGGGAGAGCACAAAACGCCCCTGCTGTGGTTCAGAGGCTGCCAGCACAAGGATGGGAACCAGCATCGCTGGATCTCCAACCCCACGTCCTCCTGCTGCCGTCAGGAACCCGTGAGCTCTCCCATCTGCTGTCTGGTGACACCAGAGCTGTGACAACAGAGCCTTGTCCCCACTGCTGGCTCTGTCTGGCTCTGCTGCTGCCCACCCAGCCCGGCTTCCAGCCGGGAACAGGCTGCAGGATCAGCTGGAGGTGTCGGGAGGCTCCTCCGCAGCGGCAGCCGGAGCCCAGAGGGATCGGCCCCTGCCTGGGGAGCAGTGGGAGAACCCCGGCTGCCTTTTGGCAGAGTTGATGTGTTAACATGGCTTTGGCTTGGATAATTCGTGGAATTAGGGATCCACATCCCTGAGCCTGGCTGGGCTTGGTGGCTTTGAGATGCTTCCATTGACTGCAGCGAGGCCTTTTTGGGCTGTGATGGGTGGCACGTCCAAAAATGCTTTATTTTGGGAGGAAATTCCTCCCTGGGAGAGCGGTGAGGCTCTGGCACAGGTTGCTCATCCCTGGAAGTGCCCAAGGCCAGGCTGGAACAGCCTGGTCTAGTGGGAGGTGTCCCTGCCCATGGCAGGGGTGGAACTGGATGATTTTAAGGTTCCTCCAAACCAAAACTGCTCCATGCTCCTCTAATTTCCCCTCCTCCTGCTGCTGTTCCTTTATTCGACTTTCCCCCATGGAATTCTGGCCATCCAACACCAACCCCAGAGTCATTTTTCATGTGTGCAGGGAACTTGTGGATGGTTTCTGAGCATTTCAGAGGCGCTGGCAGCCGAGTCACCACAAATCCGAAGCTGTCACCACACGTGGGAAAATATCTTTTCAACGCCGGGTGGTTTTTTTCCGCCGCGGCTCCGTCGGATCTGGGTCAGGCTGCCACGGGGGGCTGCTCTCTCCGGTGGGCTCGGGTCTCCTCCTCCCTTTCTTCATTCCTTCCTCACTCAATGGCATAAATAATGCAGCTTTTTTTTCCCCTGGCCACGCTATTTTTAGGGCCAGGATTCTGGGTTAGCTGAGCGCGCGATGCCGACGCCAGCTCCCGGCTGCTCAGCCGGCAGCTCGTTCCTGCTTTCCAAACTCCTTCAGCCAGTGCTGGCTTTCCAAAACTTCCTGAACTGGTTTGGGGTCTTTTTTTTTTTTTATTATTATTACTTTTGTGGGAACCAGGTGTGTTTTTACATCCTGATCTCCAGTGGGCTTTCATTTCATTGCAAGAATTCCCATCAAATATACATTATTTTCTCAAAATATATTTATCAAAATATTAAAAACATAATTTTTTTTCCTCAAATAATAAGCAAATTAATTCATTAATTCAGTCCTCATTAGAGCCCTTCCAGGATCTCCTCCTTCAGCTCTTCACAGGCTGGGACTGGTTGGAAAGATTTCCATCCAGGGACAAATCACTCCATGCAAAGGTGCTGCCTTGGGTGGATTTCCCATGTCCACGAAGCTGAGGTTGGTGTCGGCTCTCCAGCAGCATCCCTGGAAGTCGATATCGTGCCGTATAAACCTGTCGGATCCTTATTTCCCACTGGGATGTGTTTTTGCAGCTGGAAAGGGAGCGGCTCCGTGGGGAGCCACACCTGGAAAAGGAACAGCCGGACCAAAGGCAGCGCCCACCCTCGAGGAGCAGGACCTACCCCCGTGTCCAGCCCTTTTCCTGGCGTTCCCAGCGCCTTTCCTGACATTCCCTGTGCCCTCTTGGCAGGCGCCTGATGACCCGGCTGGAGGACATGCGCCGCAGCGTGCTGGGGGATGGTGTCAACCGCTGCATCCTCTGCGGGGAGCAGCTGGGGACGAGGGGCTCCACCCGTGTCGTCTGCGAGGACTGCAAGAAGGTGAGACCCCCTCCCCAGAGCCCCAAAAACCTCCCCACCCTGCGGGCAGCGCGGATTTTGGGTGCCCGTTTCCATAGCCCGGCATCCCCGGAGTCACCGGTGGCTGTGCAGGAAAAGCTTCTCGGAGCCTGCTGCTGGCGTTGGGGACATTTTTGGTGGCACCGGTGTCACCCTGCTCTTCGTTTCGCCCACAGAATGTGTGCACCAAGTGCGGCGTGCAGACCACCAACAACCGGCCCCAGGCCATCTGGCTCTGCAAGATCTGCAGCGAGCAGCGGGAGGTGCGTGTGGCCCCCCGCCCCCCCTGTCCCCTCCTGTCCCCACCCCACACCTCCGAGATGGGACTCAGCCTCCCCGGGGCCTCCAGCCTCGCCCAGCCCGCTGTTTGGGCGAGGCTCTTACAGGATGTTTGCTACACAAAATGATGTTTTATTTCACGAAAACAAAGGTTTGGGGTTTGTTGTGCTGGGCAGAGATTGGCTGCTGCAGTACGAGCCAGGGAGTTAATTGATTCATCAATTCGCGGGACGGGCAGCAGGGCGGGGATGTGGGGTCGCACTGAGGAGGACCGCGGTGGGATGGATGAAGCTCTGAGAGCCCCGGCGCTGCTCCCGCAGGTGTGGAAACGCTCCGGTGCCTGGTTCTTCAAGGGTTTGCCCAAGCAGATGCTGCCGCAGCCGATGCCCATCAGCAAGAAGGGACCCCAAACCCCCAGCGAGCCCCGCCCGGCCGAGCCGCCCGCCCCGGACCCCAAACTCCCCTCCCGGGCACCCACCCGAGGTAGGTGACAGCGGCTGCTGTCCCCACCAGCCCTGCCAGCGAGGCTCCGGGGCTCCTTCCCATCCTCGGCAAGAGGAAAACTCTGGGGAAAAAGCATCCAGAGCAGTCGTGTGGCTGCTGCCTGTGTCCTAAAGGGGAGCCTGGAGATATCCAGGATTTTATCCAGGATTTCCAAGTGGGGATGGGTGGGGTTGCAGGACAAAGCAGCCGCGGGTGGGGATCGGCGCGTTCGGCTGAGAGTTTGGGCAGTGCCTGGGTAGGTGACGGAGAAGCCTTGGAAAAAAAATAGGGATAAAATAGGGAAATCCGGGAAAACAGCGGCGGCGTGTCCCGGGGTTGGGGTTGGGGGTGCGCGGGCCGCAGCTTCACCCCCTCTCGCTCTGTTTGTGCCCCCAAGGCCAGACGGATGCCGAGGACACCGAGGGTAAGCACCGGCCTTTGTCCCCTCCCCGCGCCGCCTGTGCCCGGCCCCGTCCCTGCCTCCTTCTATTCCCAAGGCGTTTTCCCGCACAGTTTCCCCCGGGATGCTGCAGCAGGACCTCTCCCGGCTGCTGCCGCCCACCCTGCGGGGGGAGCCCGGGTTATTCCAGGGCTTCCCCACCTCCCGCACACGCCGGGGCTGAGCCGCTGCCGTTCCAGAGCCGCCTCCGTGGGTGGTGGGTCCTGCTGGGAGGGGCAGGTGGGGTTTTTTGGTTTTTTTGGTTTTTTTTTTTTCCTGGTTATTTAACGGCAGTCCTTGGAAAACCTCCCGGAGAAAGTTTAGGAGGCTTGTGGGGGCTTGTTCCTGTCTGCGGGGGATGGAGCAGCGGAGCCTTGCGCTGCGCACGGGAGGCAGAGCGGGACGAGGATGCAGCAGTGGCTCGTTCTGGTTATTCCTTGCGCCCTCCAGCACTTCCAGCCGTGGAAAAATCCAAACGTTCCGTTTGGAAAAGCTCTCAAAGCCCACCGAGTCCAACCATTCCCCCCAGCACTGCCAAGGCCACCCCATGTCCCCAGGGGCCACACTGCTGTTAAATCCCCCTGCAGGGATGGGGACTCCTGGGCAGCCTGTGCCAGGGCTGGACAATCCTTCCAGTGAAGAAATTTTCCCTAATATCCAACCTAAACCTCCCCAGGCATAATTTGGGGCCGTTTCCTCATGTCCTGTTGCTTCTTACCTGGGAGAAGAGCCCAACCCCAGCCTGGCTCCTGTCAGGGGGATGGGGAGAGTGGGAAAGTCTCCCTGGGAGTTCATTTCGAGTGGCAGCCCCCATTTTCACACTTCCACATGGGATGCCAAGGGGATGAGGATCCCTGATCCCCCTCCAACACCGTCTGCTGCTCGTTTGGGTGGTCATTAAGTTGGGAGCAGCTCCATGGCTGCAAACCTTCCTCTTCTTGGCTCCATGGAAGAAGTAAAGAAAGGCTGAGGGGACAGTTCCAGCTTGGAATGATCCCCTCCATCCCACCCTTCCTTTAGGCCGGGTTCTGATGCCCCCAACTGACGCTCTCCCTCTTCCCGTGCAGCAGCAGCTGGGGAAGGCACTTAATTAAGGCGATTTAATTACGCCCGTAGCGGGTGCCGTTAAACCTCGCAGCCCCACGGGCGGCTTTTATTAATCCGACGGCTCCTGGAGTCGGGAAGGCTTTGGCAGCTCCGCACGTCCCTCCCGGTGCTCAGCATGCTCCTGCCGTGCCCATGATTTTCCTACAGCTCCCTTGGAAAATTATTTATTGCGCCGCTCTCTCTGCACCACGGGGCTCCCGCTCCTGGATGCTCATTTTCCACCACCTCCCTTCCCTGCTCTTCAGCATTCCCGGTGTTTTTCCCTCTCTCCCTCCTCCTTTCCCCCCACAATCTGTTGCGTTCCGCTTTGTCCTTGCGCCCGGTGACCCTGAGAGCCCAGCCAAGGAGAAACAGCCCATTTATGTCACGCCAAAGATTTATCCCTGGCGTCTCCGGCGGCAGCCAGGTGAGCGCCGAGACCTTTCCCGTCACGTCCGTGGGGTTGCAATCCATCACCCCGGAGTGCCGGGCTGGGATTTATCCGCTGGGACGGCGGCTGCTGGGTGATGGAAGGGAGAGGCCGAGGCAGCTTCCACAGCTGTCTCCTCAATAAATGGGTGATGATCAGCAGAAGGAAAATATCACCCCCTCCCCAATCCCAGGAATGTGGAGCTGGGATGCCATCAGGGGTTTCGATGGGTGCTGAGGACCAGGTGATGGATACCTCAGGCCTTGTTTTTCTCGTGTCCTTGGGGATTTCCTGGGCACTGCTTGCAGGTTTGATGGCGCAGAGTCCTTCTGCTGCAGTGTCCGTGCCCATTGTCCCCCCGCCGCTGGCAGCCAGGCCGGGCAGCACCCGGCGATGCCAGCTCGCTTTTCCAGCCTCACTGCTCCTTCATCCCTCTCCCTGCAGGCACCGACGCCGCAGCGGCCGCCCGGGGGAGCCGCAAAGCTGCCGAGGGCCGGCCGGGTCCGTGCGGCAGCGAGGACACCGGTGGGGACAGCGACAGCCGCGACCTGGCTGCCGAGAGTGGGGTCAGCAGGAGCCCCGGTGAGAGCGGCGCTCCCGCATCCCTGCGGGGCCACAGCGAGGGGACACAAAGGCGGGAGCCACCCGAGGCTGCTTCCCGCTGAGTGTCCCCTGTCCTCGCAGGTGTGAAGAGAACCAGCTCGGTGCAGGGCCAGCGGCCACCCCCGCCGGCCAGCGCCGCTCCCGCCGCTGGATCCGGCCCGGCAGCAGCGCCCGCAGGTAGGATGCGATGGGATCGCGGCCAAGGCGTTCAGTCCCTGGGGACACCCCCGGGCCAGGGACGCTCTGGCTTGGCCCGGAGGCCACGAGGGAACGTCCCGGGCTGATGCCACCTCTGTCCCCAGCGCCGGCGGCCGCAGCGGCGAGGCCGGGGGGCCCCTCCCGCTTCCCGGAGAGACAAGGTAAGGCCGGGCTGGCTGCGGGGGGCTGGGGCAGAGCGGGCCGGGGGCTAACGGGGTCCCTCCCGCAGCGAGCCCCCCCCTGGGACCCCCGGAGCCCCGAGGCGCCGCCAGGGAGGAGCGGGGAGGGGGCTTTGCCGCGCCCCCCGGCAGGGAGGACAGACCAGCCTGGCAGCCCCCTGCTGCCAGCCAGCCCCCGCCGGCAGCCGCGGCCCCGCAGCGGCAGCAGCAACGCGAGGAGGAGGAGGAGGATGCCAACAGCTACGATTCGGATGAAGGCAGTACGTGCCCAGGGAGGGAGGGAGTTTCTTTGGGAAGTGTGGGATTTGGAGGAGGTTGGTGGGAGGGCGTGACTCGCATTGGAAGGCGGTGGGTCTCCAGCGGGGAATGTCCTTGGGGAATGCTGCAGGTGGGTCTCCAGCAGGGAATGTCCTTGGGGAATGCTGCAGGTGGGTCTCCAGCAGGGAATGTCCTTGGGGAATGCTGCAGGTGGGTCTCCAGCAGGGAATGTCCTTGGGGAATGTTGCTTCCCTGTGGGGCTTGGAGCTGGGGGTTGATTTGAGGATCTGTGGTAGAACATCCTGGGTGGGAAAGCTCCTCAGGGTTGGGAACAGGTGCTTGGATGGGAGCAGCTGATGCTTTCTGTGCCTGCTCTTCATCCCTGGGATGAAGGAACACAAGCCTGAGCTGGTTTCCAAGAGGCCAAAACAGGAGCCAGGTGCTGAGCCCCAGCCCCGGGAGGACGTGCTGTTCATGAGCTGGAGCATCTCCTCAGGGTGGTCCAGGGTGGAATTGCCATGGGAAGGGTTGGTGAGGTTACTCCTCCTTTGCCTGGTGAATATTGGAGAGCCAGGCTGCTCTCCCTGGGCAAAAGCTGTGCAGAGCTCCCGAATCCGCCGGGATTTGTGGTGGTTTGGCCGCTGCCAGCACAGTCTCACTGTATTAAACAGCTTTTACTTTTGACCCGCAAATCTTTCTAATTATTACTAATCGTGGATGATTAAATGAAGTTATTGGCTGGGGTTTTAACGAGGTTTCCTCCTCCTCCTCCCTCGCTGTCAGCCACACTGGGAGCTCTGGAGTTCAGCCTGCTCTACGACCAGGACAACAGCTCCCTGCACTGCACCCTCATCAAGGCCAAGGCAAGAGCTCCTCTTTTCCACTCCTTTTTCCCCTCCTTTTTCCCTGCTTTAAATCCATCTGGCTCCCAGTTTCTCTGGTACAATGGGATGGAAGCCATGTGGCTGCTGGCAGAGGCTGCTCCCTTGGGCGACCCCAGCCACAGCTGTTCCTGGCTGGGGAGGGTTGGGGGAGCTTTTCCTTGTGTGACTCCAAGAGATCTGTGGGAGAACAGTCCTTCCAGAGAAGCTGTGGCTGCCCCTGGATCCCTGGAAGTGTCCAAGGACAAGTAGGACAGGGTTTGGAGCAACCTGGGACAGTGGAAATGTCCCTGCTCATGGCAGGGGGTGGAGCTGGCTGATATTTGAGGTCTCTTCCAGCCCAAACCATCCTGTGATTCTACAATTCTGATTTTTCCAGGGATGGGTCGGGTGTTTCAGCACATCCTGGCGCTCACAGCCGCTTGGGGCAGAGGGCCACTGAACACATTTTCTCTTGGGGTTTTTCATGGGCAGCTTTTCCTCTGCCTTGGCTTTGCTGAAGGAGGATTCATGCCCTGTGTTTCCTTTATCCTTTTTTAGGGCTTAAAACCAATGGATTCCAATGGCCTGGCTGATCCCTACGTGAAGCTGCACCTCCTGCCTGGAGCCAGCAAGGTGAGGCTTTGCCAGGTTTGGTGCTGTGGATGGAGCAGAGGTTTCTCAAATCCCACTCAGGTCCCTCCCTCGGATCTGGTTTTCCCCGTTGATTTCTCCGCTCGCTGCTGTTTTCCCCCGGGGGTTTCTCCGAACAGGGAGGATGTTCCCAGATGCTCTCCCAGACCCGAGGAACAGCTCATCCTGCAGGCAGGAGTCTGCTCAGGGATGGAGGGGAGCTCCAGAGGAGGCATTGCTGTTAATGCATCACAAAACATCTGCCCAAAAGTCTAATTATGGCCAGGGTTGGAATTATCCGTTTGCTTGGGAGCTGCAGCACGTTTGGAGCTGTGGGGAGAGAACCGTGCTGGAAGCTCTGGCTCCATCATGGGAATTCCTGGAAATCTCCCTCCCCAGCCCAGCTGAGCTGATCTTGGTGGGCAAATCTTGAAGGAATGACCACCACCAGCAGTGCTGGCTCATTGCTTAGAGGGCGCAGCAGGGTTTTGCTCAGAAGATCCGGGAGTAAAACCAGGGGAAAACTGATAATAATAAAATCACTGGATTGATTTTACAGCGCTGCTTTATGCACAGGGGATTCATGCTCTTGTTCGGGGGAAAGCCAGGCATGTTGTTGGGAACAGATTTGATTTCTGTTGCTCTCATCTCCTGAAATTTATTTTAGTGTTTTTTTTTTTTTAAATTTTGAATGTATGGTTGTGAAAGACACACAAGCAAGTGACAGCTCCTCATTCCCCCACTGTCACCTCCTTTAAACCATGAGAGCTGTGACCCCGCAGCCTGCCCTGGGTGCCCTTTTCCCTCTCCCTGAGGGAATAAACCCCAGGGAGTGACAAAATCCAGGCTCTCCCGGCCCCCACGTGCCACCAAACCCCCGGTGCTTGCGCAAAGTTCCACCGTGACGCTCCCCTGGAGCCGCTGGCCCAGCAGCACCCAGCTGTGCCAGATGTGATGTGGCATCCCTGCCAGGAGCTGGGATTTGGGCAGGGAGGAACTCCGGGGTGTAATTCCCCCGTGTTTACTCCACCCCGCAGTCGAATAAGCTGCGGACGAAGACGCTGCGCAACACCCGGAACCCGGTGTGGAACGAGACCCTGGTGTACCACGGCATCACCGACGAGGACATGCAGAGGAAAACCCTCAGGCAAGGCCAGCAGGAGCCCAGGGATCCCACGGGAGGGTGGGATGGGAGCTGTGGATGTCACCCAGGAGTGCGCAGCGGGGCTGGGGCAGCGGGAAATACGGATTTGGGTTAAAATCCACGTGAGGTTGCTCATTTGGATGGTTCTTTTAAGAGAGGAAGACTGGTGTTTTGACCTTGTCATTTAATAGTAAATTATTGATTATAAATAAATTATAATTTATATTATTTATGTTATATTATATATAATTTATATTTATTTATATTATAAGTAAATTATAATTTATTATATTCAATAATTGTTAATTATAATAAATATGTAATGTTAATTATATAATTAGTATATTTTATAATATATAATTATAATATAATATTATAATTATAATAAATAATAATTTATTATAATTTTTATCATCATAGAGATGTGTATCTCTGCTGATTTGACATCTCAGAAAAAAAGAAGTCCATACAAAATAGCTCTCAAAATTCGTGACTCTTTCTCCCCTCAAAAAACTTCCACCTCTTGATTTCTTGCTCCATCACAAAGCAAATATTTAAAATGTTGATTTTTTAAAATAATTTATTTTTACTTTTTGAATTTTTTTTTTGGCAAGCTAGAAATTTGGGGTTGTTTGCTTTTGGTTGGAAGAAATCCAGATCAAGGGTGGGTTTGGGGGGAGGATTTGCTTTGCTTTTTGCTTTTCCCTCCCCCCAGCAGGGGTGGGTTTGTCTCTGGAGTCAGACACTGCTCCATGGCTGATGTTCCCCTTTCCCTTCTTCCCTCCAGGATCTCCGTGTGTGACGAGGACAAATTCGGCCACAACGAGTTTATCGGAGAAACCAGAGTTGCCTTGAAAAAACTCAAAGCCAACCAGAAGAAGAACTTCAACATCTGCCTGGAGAGAGTAATACCAGTGAGTGTCCGTGGAAATTCCTTCTGTTCCCGTCGGGATTGCCAACAAATGGCTCCTGAGGGATGCAGGGAGAGGCTGGAGGTGCCTGACTTCTCTGGCACCTTTAGGAGTTGGATTCCCACCTGTGCCTGGGCTGATGCGACATCCCAAGGCCAGGAGATGAGGGTGTGGTGGGAATCCATGGGAAGTGACTCCAGGGCCTGCTCCTGCTGGCACTGCCAGCCCCTGCGGGTGGATGGCACCGTGGAGGTTGCTCTGTCCCCCGTTGGATCTCCTGGGGTGGGGGTTGATGGAGCAGATGGACATTCCTGAGGCCTTTCCACTCCAGAGTGCAGCGCAGGAGCTGGGCTGCCGGCATTCCCAGGTTTTTTTTGCTGTGGGATGGTGCCTCTCCCGGTCATTCACGGCAGTTTCCTTATCCCTTTCCCATCCCAGACGAAGCGCACCGGAACGACCGGCGCATCCCGTGGGATGGCTCTGTACGAAGAGGAGGTGAGTCCTCGGAGCGGGACAATCTCCATCCACGCCCCATCCCTCGTGTACAACCCCGTTATCCCCCGCGGTCACGGAGATCCGACATTCCCTGATATCCATCTCACCCCTCCCGCTCCCCCGCTGAGTTCTTCCTGGCCCGGCTCCTCCACGCCCGCCTCTCCCGCAGGTGGATCGCAGTGGGGACGTGGAGGAGCGCGGGAAGATCCTGGTGTCCCTCATGTACAGCACCCAGCAGGGCGGGCTCATCGTGGGCATCGTGCGCTGCGTGCACCTGGCGGCCATGGACGCCAACGGATACTCGGATCCCTTCGTCAAGCTGTGAGTGAGCCGGGAACGGCTCCGGGCTGGAGCACGCGGCCGTGGAGCCGCCTGCTGTGCTCCTTCCTCTGGAGGCCTCGCGCGGCGGGAGCTGTCCAGCGGTGTCCCCGTTGTGGGTGGGGCTCAGGGGTGCTGAGCCAGCCCTTGGATGTGTCGCTCCCCAAGTGCCCGGATCCCGTGGGAACCTCATGGAGAACCCCAGGATTGTTAAAGGCTGGGAAAGACTTTGGGAGTCCAGCCTTTGACTGGTCACCTTGTGTCTGCAAACAAAGGACACAAAGGGTGTGGGTTTGGGGCTGCAGCCCAAGGTGGAGGTGCCCAACTTCCCCAGGATCCGTAGGAGTGGGATTCCCACCCGTGACCCATCAAGGGCTTGGTGGGAATCCGGGGACAGTGGAAGCTGGAGGACAGGGGGGGTCCTTCTCTCCACCTCTGACCCACCCTGGCTGCAGGACAGAGGTGGCTCCGTGTCCCTCTGTGCCCCACTTGCTGCCCCATAAACCCACGTGGCTCCTGGGAATGTGGGGGAATAAGGTTTTTATTCCGACCTCGTGAGCTACACCACGGAGAGATCCCTGCAGTCATTCCTGGTGGGGTTTTGCACCTGTTTTTTAACTTTGCCTTCAGAAAAAAACCCTCTGCTCTCATAAAACTCATTCAGTAACTCTCATGTTGAACACATTCTGCTCATCTTTTTGTAGCTCGGTGGAACTGAGCAGTTTCCCTTCCCGGTCTCTCTTTATTTGTTGTATTCTCCATTTCCACAAACAGAAGATGGTGGCTTTACGTTTTTAAATCGGCTTCTAACAGAGATCTAATTAATCCCAGCTCTAAATTGAGTTCTGGATCGGCAGCCAGGCTGCACAGCCCCAGCCCCACACTTTTCCCACATCCTCTGGAAGGTGGGAAGGGAGACTGGCCCTAAATAAATCTCATCCAGCCCAGAAATGCACTTTTTAAGCTTATAAACTCCCACTCTTCTTGCACTTGAATTTTGAGCTGTTTCCTGTTGCCCCCAGTTGGCTGAAACCTGACATGGGCAAAAAGGCAAAGCACAAGACACAGATTAAGAAGAAAACGTTGAATCCTGAGTTTAACGAGGTATGGATGGGTATTTTTTTAACTTTTAAATCAATCCACTGAAAACCGCGTTGAGTGGAGGAGGTGGAAGACAAAATCCCCAAGGCTTGGCCTCTTTGCTCAAGCTCCTTTCCCACTCCTGTGCTCGGGAATATTTTGGGAATGACTTTGCCATGGCAGCACCACACCCCCCAGGAGCTCCCTGCTGCCGGATCCGTGCCATCCCAGCTGGGGATGTGGGTGGGATGAGGGTGGAAACTGGAAATTCTCCACTGGAGCTGCTTTGATGGGACACCTGGGAAGGGCTCACGTAGGTGCAAGGGGTGAGCTCAGCTCCTGGAAAAGCCACAGGGAAGGAGCGTTTTTTCCTTCCTTAATTGTATTTTAACCATCCTCTCCTTGGATTTTGAATCCAGGCTGGACAGAGATCGGGTCCAACCCTTTAACTGCAGCTTTTAGGGTGTGTCTTCCTTTGGGGTTCACACTGGTGTTCCCATTCCTGCAGGAGTTCTTCTATGACATCAAACACAGTGACCTGGCCAAGAAATCCCTGGACATTTCCGTCTGGGATTACGACATCGGAAAATCCAACGACTACATCGGTCAGTGCTGAGCTGCAAGTCTCTGCCCTCTGGGGCACGGCTTTGGTGCCTGGTGTGGGGTTTGCTGGATGGGAGGGGGGCCTGGGTCACCTGCCCAGGTGGGATGATGGAATCTGGTGCCACCCCTGGAAGGTCTTCTGGGCAGGAAAAGCATCTCCAGGTGCTTCCATTAGATTTTTCATCCAGGAGGCGGAAAAAGCCTTGCAGGGCGTGAGGTGTGATTTCCTGGAACGCCAGCATCACCTCTGGACACAAACTCCTCTCCCCTTTTCCCAGGCGGTTGCCAGCTGGGGATCACGGCCAAGGGCGAGCGCTTGAAACACTGGTACGAGTGTTTGAAGAACAAGGACAAGAAGATCGAGCGCTGGCACACCCTGCAGAACGAGAACCACGTCGCCAGCGATTAAAGGGAGCCCCTGCCCGGCTCTCCCCACCCTCTGCCACGCCCCTCTAGGTCCCTGATGTCCCTGGTGTCCCGTCTTCCAGCGCAGCCACGCCTTGCTACAGCCTCTGATCCCAGGGTCCTCCACCTCCCCCGAGCCCCCTCCACCCTCCCTTCCACTGAAAACTCCCCCAGATCTTTTCTATTCCCCTTTATTTATTTTCAGCTGGGGGAGGGAGGCCGTCGAGTTCCCCTGGTGTGTAATTTTGGCAAGCAATAGTTCCCTCCTGACTGTTCCCCTCTCTCTCTCCCTCCCTGCTCCCCGTGGCAGCGTTCCCGTCGCGTTTCTGACGCTCTGTGTCCTTCCAGCCTCCGCTCCTGGCGGCTCCGGCGTCTCCCGGCGGGAGATGGGAGTGCTGGGCTTGGGAGCATCAGCCTGTCCTGCTTGTGTGATCTCAATACCTCAGTTGCAATAACGAAAAAGCTCCTTGGCTTTGGTGTGGGTGTCACCGTCGCCTGGTGTCCGTGTCGTCGTGGTTAGGCCAAATCCGGTGTCACCGGCCTCATCCTGCGAGTCCTGCTTGAGCTTCACCTCTGGTTTGGCCCACCTGAGCAATGTTGTGGCACATCCTTTTGCTGAGAAGATCCACCACCAACACAGTAACAGCGACGAGGAAGGGTTTAGGGAGCTCTGTGCCCGCAGGGAAGCAGGTTTGGGTTGGTTCCCGTCGTTTCCAGCCGCCGCGGGCGGTTCCTTCGCCCGAGGAATTCGGGGACTCCGCTGCTGTAGGAGCCCGGCTGTGTTTTAGGGTTGTGACTACCTCCTCTTCACCTCTGAGCTGTGTAGTAGTGACTGGCCCAGACCTGAAGGCGGCACCTGGGTCCCCTCAGACCCCTCCTGCTTCCAAGGATTTTCTGTTCCTCAGGAGGGAAGCTGAGGGAGCTGCTACTTCCCCCCAGCCCCCTGATGTGTGCAAGGATTGTTGCTTTAAACCACCCCAACTCCTGGAATTAGCTGGAATGGTCCGAGATCTTCCAGGCTTGGGTTGTTCTGGTTTGGTTTTCTTTCATTTTTTTTCCCCCAATTTTCTGCACAAGAACCTTTGGCCTCAGCCTGCACTGATGGCCTGGACATCAGGAGAGCACAGGCAGCTGCAGGAACCATTCCCTGGCTCTGGAACCGTTCCCTGGCTCCGGAACCGTTCCCTGGCTCTAGAACCGCTCTAGAACCGTTCCCCGCTCTAGAACCGATCCGGAACCGCTCTAGAACCGCTCTCTGCTCTAGAACCGCTCCGGAACCTGTCCCCGCTCTAGAACCGCTCCGGAACCGTTCCCCGCTCTAGAACCGATCCGGAACCGCTCTAGAACCGTTCTCCGCTCTAGAACCGCTCCGGAACCGTTCCCCGCTCTAGAACCGCTCTGGAACAGTTCCCCGCTCTAGAACTGATCCGGAACCACTCTAGAACCACTCCGGAACCGTTCCCTCGCTCCAGAACAGCTCTGGAACCGCTCCGGAACTGTTGCCTCGCTCCGGAACTGCTCCAGAACCATTCCCTGGCTTCAGAACTGTTCCCTGGCTCTGGAACCATTCCCTAGAAAGCCCCAAGCACAGCCCTGTGGATAGGAGCACACTGAGCACTATGGAATGTACGGAATTTTTTGTCACACCGCGCATGTTGTGTGAAACCTCCCCTGCCCCCTCTGCTGCAGCCACTCGCTCTTTGAGTTGGATGAGTTTTGTTTTCCCGATGTTTTCTGCATTTTCCCTGTCTCCCAGCAGAAGCTGATGTGCCCCGGGTGTCCCCAGCCCTGGGTGACACAAACCCCTCTGTGCTGAGCTGGCCCAGCCTGGCCCTTTCCCTCCTTGGATCTCCAGGCGGGAAAAGCCAACCCAACCCCCTCCCAGAGCTGGGAATCCTCTTCCATCGCTCCGCTGAGCTTGGACACAGGGGTGGAATGGAAGAGGAAACCTGGAATTTTCCGTATTTTCATGGAATTCTTGCCTCTGTGCCAGTCAAGGTGACGTTCCTGACTCTGGCCAGGACCCAGCCTGGAACAATCCCGTTCTTTTGGACTGTTTCTCTCTGCATCCTGTGCTGAAGCCTCCCTGCTCCAGGTGGGCTGTGGGATCCAGGATCTCCCTTTTCCAACCTCAATAACTCCATAATAACCCTTAATAACTCTAATAATAAGATGTCACTGTCCTTTCCAGAGGGATGGATCTGGCCCAAACATTCCTGTTCGTACCCAGAGCAGCACCTGGGCACGGAGCTGTGCTGGGGAAATGTATGGCCGAGGGTAAAAAAAACCAAAAAACTTTAAAAATCATTATTTAAGCAATCCCTTAATTTCTCCCAGTCCTGCAGCAGCAGCCCAGCCTCCTTTGTATGTGCAGAACTACTCACTTAAGGTTACCCTTATCCCATCCTGTATTCCCATTCCCTGGTCAGCCTGCTTTCTTTGGGAAAAGGATACTCAGATCATCTCTTTGCACCTCCAAAAATCAAGTGCAACTTGCCAAACTCCTCGGTATTGTGCAAAACCATGGTCCTGGTCTCTGCCCGCCCCACCCTCTTCTCAGTTTTTCTGATGGTAATTCCTGCCCTGAATGACTTCTTTTTGTTGTAAATAAAGCATGCACGTATGGATTGGGAATGGTGAAAAACAAACAAACAAACAAACAAACAAAAAAAAAAGCAAAAAAAAGAAAATGAAAAGCCTCTTCTACTGCTGTTTGCATTCAGACTCGCATGCAGTGATTTTACAGCCAAATATCAGTTTACAACTGTTGAGAGAAAACGTTACACAGGAATTAGGAATCCTCCAGTCTTCCGCTGCATGCAGCACAACATCCTCTCTTGGTGTGGTATCTAATAAAGTGAGACTATTGGAAAAAGAATAAAAAACACTCGCGTTTTTTTCCTTCTTTCACTCCCTGTGGGAATAGGAACCTCATGGGCTGGGCAGAGGGCCTGGTTCTGGGAATTCCTGCGGGGCTGGGGCTGCTGGAATTGGCATTGCACTCGAGATGTTGAGGAGTTGGGGGTGGTTGTGGGGGGAAGATCCTGGCTCCTCCTGGGGGATAGCAGGAATTCCTGGGTTTGGGAATATCCTGGGTAAAATCATGCAGGTTTAAATCATCCATGAGCTCCCCCCTCGCTTGGTGCCTGGGGGTGAAGGCCCTGAGGAAATGCAGGAGTGGTGGTGGGAGGCTTTTTTCCCCCTCTCAGTGCCCTCCCTCACCCCCAGTTTGGGGAGCAGGAGCCGCTCCCTCGGGCGGTGGCAGCTCCCGTTGTGCTGCTGCTCAACCAAGCAACGGTTTCCTTTCATTTCCTTTGATTTCCCTTTTATTTCCTTTTATTTATTTCCCTTTATTTCCTTTTATTTATTCCCTTCATTTCCTTCTATTCCTCCTTTATTTCCTTCTTTTATTTCCTTCTATTTCCTTTTATTTTCCATTTATTTCCTTTTATTTCCTTTTCATTCCCTCCCCTTTATTTATTTTTATTTCCTTTTATTTATTTCCTTTTATTCTGGAGTTTTTAGGCTCGGTTTAGGCTGGTGGGAGCCCCCGGGCGGTGCCATCGTGGGGTGGGGACCGGTGGCGATGCCCAGAGACAGCAGCAGATGTCACCGGAGCTCCAGGGATGGAGCGGGAAGGAGGTGCCGGAAGGACATCCCGCTGTTTCCAGGGATTTGGGAATTTCGGGGGATAAAAAAAACACCAAAAAAACAAAAAAAAGCCGCTCCTAACGCTGCTTCTTTTCCAAATCTTCAGTGACAGGGAAGAGTTTTGGCTTTGTACTCTGGGGAAAAACGCCCCCTTAAAACTGAGTTTTAACTTCTTTTTAATGTTTTTGTTTTCCAGCGTCGGGTTCTTCTCGTTGATTTTTCCTCCTCTTTTCCCTTTCCTGCCCAGCAGAGAAATCCCAGTGGAGGAATCCCGGTCCCATCCAAGACCGCCCAGCCAAGAAATCCAACCCAGGAGGTCCCAGCAGAGAAACCATCCAGCTCCAGATGAAGACTGGGATGAGGATTCTCTGGGATGAATGTGTTGAGGTGTTTGTGGATGGTTGCGAATTCCTGAGTGGAAAATTATTCCAAAGAAGGGAAAGAGGGATTCTGCGCAAATCCATGGGGATAAAAGAGAATCCTTTAGGCCCTCTAATTCCCATTTATCCTCCCATTTTGAGAGGATACTTCACACTCTCTAATTCCTATTTCTCCTCCGTTTTTTTTCTCAGCCTCTCTGGAAGGGAATTCCTTGGGTTGCGAATTGGGCTTGTTCAGGACCATCCTTTGAATCTCCTGCTCCTGCAGGTGGCTTCCCAGCTTTAATTCCATCTGGGCACGTCTGAACCATTCCGCTCTTCCAGCCGCTTTTTTTCCTGGTGTGCTCATGGGATTTGCACCTTTGGGGCAATCAATGGATTCTCATCCCAGTTCTGGCCAGTCAGGAGCAGGAATTTACAGTGCTTGGGAAATCCATCCCAGTTTGCTCTTCATGCAGGGGGTGGGAAATGGGGATGGCAGCAGCACCTTTAGCAGCTGCCAGGACCTCAGGCAGGTCCTTGGCTGATCTGGGAGAGGCGCCAGGACCATCCCTGGAGAAAAGCCATGGGATGGAGGTGTTGGCAAAGCCTTGGGCTGTTGTTGAACTCCTCTGAAATCCAGCCTGGCTCCTCTGCGAGGCTCCCGTGGCTCCAGGAGGTCCCAGCATCACCCAGTGACCCAACTCAGGCCCGGCAGTGCTGTTTTCTGATTATCTCCTGCGGGATAATTCATTAAAACTTCCACGTTACAGAGCTCTCCTCATCTCCTGCCCGATCCTGGAGCAGGAGGGAAACATTCCCTGGCTTCCCATCTCCTGGGGGGTGGAAAAAAAAGAAATAAACCAAGCATTTTCCTCTTTAACATTTCACTTAAAAAAACAGAGGAGCTCAAATAAATAAATCCCTCCTCTATCCACTTTTGAGCCCAGCTTTTCCAAAAGCCAGCAGGGAGAAATCTCTTTATCTCCCAGGA